ATTTTTTTTAGGGGGGTAAGTTGGATAATAATCCTCTAATTAAACCATACTTGTTTAAAACTTAAATTTGATTCCCAAAAATATGCACCCTATTTTTGCTTCTTTTTTTTAAAAGAAAAAAAACCAAGAAAATCAAAGTCAATTTGAGTCAAGTCATTAAAATAAATGGTATAATTTACAGTACTTGGTCAAGAAGACAAAGACGGCTAATCAAGGACAACACTTTTTTTCAAGCCTACCTTTTTGATAAACTGATCCGTCAAAAGAGAAAGGCTAAGAGGATAATGGCAACTCAAGAAGAAGTCAGTCAACTTAGGCAAGACTTGGCTAATGTAATTGAAATGATGAAGACTATGGCTCTTCAAGTCAATGACCCTGCGAGACAACTACAAATGCAACGAATGGAGGAAATCTTGAACCATCTCTCCAATGACTACAAGTTCCAGAGCATTAGCTCATAAGGGGTCTCGGTAGACAAGGAGCTTCTTCCGCAGAAGTTCAATGCCAATGACATCCCTATGTTTAAACCTACTAGCAATCCTTATTTCCACTTAAGAGCTTTTGAAACAATAATTAACATTAAGGGGATTGATAGGAAAGTCTTTCATTCTTTGTTCTCTTTATCTCTTGAAACCGTTTTCCAACAATGGTTCTTTTCTCTAGATAAATAAAAGAGTTCTACTTGGGATAGAATAGTAAACGCTTTCATTGATAGGTCAAATAAAACATTCAAGTTGAGACTGATCATAGAGAGCTTGAAATGTTAAAACAAAAAGAGAATGAAGGTTTCACCTCTTTCTTTAACAAGTGAAGGCAAACTTCTGCCAAAATGGTTGAGGTGCCTAGTGAGAAAGAATCTGTAAGGATGTTCATTAAGAACCTCCAAGAAAAATATTCTAAACACCTTAAGTATTAAAGTAATCAGAATACTTTCAAGGCCATTTATGACATAGGGATCAACATCGAGGACGACATTGTAAAGAAAAAAGTGCTAACAATTCCAACAGTGGCTGGAAAGGAAAAAAGAATGACAATCCTTCTTCTTCCAAGACTACCCACTCAAACAATGTTAGCACCTTTAATCTGAGTGAAGTGCTTGCTATGAATAATCAAGGACAAAAGAAACCATTTAGGAAGAACTTTACTCCTATTGGCATGAGTTATGACACCGCATTTGATCGTCTTCATGTAAAAGGTCTTATAACTCCCATTGGACCATTTGGAGATCCACCGGTCGAAAGGAGGACGGCTAGTTGGAACCCCAATGCACATTGTAAGTACCATCAAGGTAGGGGTCATCTTACTGAAAACTGTTGGAAGCTAAAAGAAGTTATTCAAGATATGATTGATAGCAACAAGCTACCATTGCCTCCTGCAGGCAAGAAGCGGCCAAGTATCAATAGCGCCCCACTTTCAGATTCCTTGGCTATTTCCGATGGGGAAAGTGATATTAACTTATCATCCCTCATCAAACCAATCAAAGAAGCTCATGCAATTGAGGAAGAGGAGGAAACCTTCTTCAATGCCGTAAGTGATCTTCCTACAAGTCAACAATTTGCCACAAGAAAAGAAGTAAAGGCCCTTAACCAACTGATAAAGGAAGCAATAGTCATTTGTCGTGAGGCCCTTGACCATATAAAGATGACTCAAAATAAACATGAAATTCAAGAGGTAACACCTACAAAGGCTATTAAGAGAAAATTGTTTTCTCTACAAGTAGTTAAAGCACCTAAAAGGAGTGACAAGTCTTACACTCCAATTGGGACCTCCTATGCTAACATGTTTTAAATGTTCTTCGAGAGTGGGAATATCAAACCTCTCAAGCCAAGACCATTTGAATCATTGAAAAGGACAGACAGTTCAATTGTCCATACCATCAATCAGGAGGACATACCATAGAACAGTGCCTCAAATTCAAAAGTCTGATTCAGAAGTTAATTGACAATAAGAAGTTGGTCCAAATCCCACTAGAAAGGGATGTTAGCATCAGCGGAGTCTGGGAAAGTGATGATGAGGATGTTTACCTCAAAGATGTAACCCCACTTTCCACAATATACCAGTAGATGACATTTGGGATGAAGAAGATTCACACATATATGTTCTCACAAGATCAGGGAGAGTGCAACCTCTCATCACTACACAGCCTATCCCTACTACTCAACAAGTTCTTATACCTATCATAGAAGACAATGATGTTGTCAAACAGCCAAAAAAGACTAAGGTCGAAATGAATGTATGGAAACTACTAGCCACATCTCGTGAACATAGAATCGCAGTAATGGATGCTTTGTCTAAAGTAGGGATAGACTCAAAAACCACTCCTGAGGGATTAGCTAATTTTCTCACGAGTGATCTTCCAAGTCCCATTAACCTAATTACCTTTTCTGACAAGGACTTAGCTCCGGAAGGTGACAAACACAATAAGGCCTTAAACCTCACAGTAGTTTGCAAGAGAATGAATGTCCCAATGACTCTTGTAGATAATAGGTCGGCAACTAATGTTTGCCCATTACAAACTGCAAGGATGTTGGGAATAAGGTATAAAGATCTGTCTCCATAAACACAAGGAATAAGAGCTTATGACAATGGCTTTCAAACTTATTTTTCCACGCCGCCAATCTTTCACAAAATCAACAATATATTTCCCAACAATATACTAAAATTTCTGAAAAAATAAAGCATGCATACCATCGGGTCCAGGGGCTTTGTTTAGATAAGCAATATTATTATTAGTACCAATTTTCAAAAACATTTATTCTCTTTAACAATTATTATTTATTTTTCTTCCTTAGGTACCTCTTTTGTCATACAATTTTTCTATGGGCTTTAATTTTTCTTAAAAAAAATTTGATGTGTTATTTGTTTGGAAATTTTCTTATGTTTAATTTTCGAGTAAAAATAAACACATTTTAAAATTTTATTTGTACAGATCATGCATCACACGAGAATAATCTAGCTAGTATCACTAACAAATTATTCCATATATTATTATATAATTTAAATTCAATAAATTAATACAAGTATGACAATTTTATTTATAATAAGAATTTACTATATACCAACTCAATAAATAATTTAAATTTTCTTAACCTTTTCAAATACTCACAATATATTTGGGTGCCCATATATGACAATCCCATTCTAAAATTAATATAGTTTTCATTTGGAGATAAACTCACTAGGGATGTAGACGGGGCAAGAGGAGGGGCAGATGTTGGTCTTCCCATCCCCTTCCCTACCTAATATTCTCATCCCCGTCCCCACAACATATCCGAAATTCATCCCCATCCCAACGGATAAAAAATTTATCCTCGCCTCGACAGATACAATTCCAAAATCATCTCCGTCTAGTCGTCCATCCCTCACTTGGATATCCACACCCACAAAATCACACCCAAAACTCACCTACTACAATGTCCACGTGGTGATATTAACTCAACTCTTATAAATATAGAGTCTCTTGGGTCATAGTTAGATAACAAGAAACATTTCATAAGAATAAAAAATTTTCATTTTTCGAACATGAAACATGAGCAACACATGAACTTAACAAAAGACGAATTCTAGATACATTCACACAATGTGTTTGGACAAGTTGGAGAAATCATGGTTAGAAATTGCCTCCCTAAAGTACAATAGAAGAACATCCTTCTTTAATAAACTTTAATATGAGTAGTTGTTATGTGTCTTCATGTGATATAAATAGGGATGTATAGGGATGGCAAAGGGTCGGGTTTGGATCGGGTCCACTGAGACCTAGATCCGGAATTTCGGAGGTGGACCCAGATCCGACCCACACCAACTGTGTCTAGAAAAATCATACCCAGACTCAGATCCATCAGGTCTAGCGGGTCTCGGGTCCAAAACGAGGTCTAACTATGATTTTTATTAATTTTTTTATAATTTTGTATATATATATTATTAATTTATAATTATACTACTACTTCAAAATAATAAACTACGCATTAAAAAAATGTGTTCATATTTTTGACACACTAATAATTTGTTCATTAAAAAGTAAAGACAATGCAAAAAAAAAAAAAAAAAAACCGTACTATGCAAAAACTTAATTTCTTGGTTGCTGTTTTATTTGCTCACTTTCGCTAAAGTCTATCTTCTCAACCTCTAATTACGTAGTATATTAAGTGATTTTTTAAATAATATTGTAACTAATATATATTTATTATTTATAAAAAATAAAAAAATTAAAAATGGGTCCATGGGTCGGATATGGGTCGGGTCTGGGTCTACAATTTTTGGACTCAGCCCCTAAAATATGGGTCGGGTCCAACCGGGTCTGGGTCGGATCTTGGACCCATTACCATCCCGAGATGTAAATAAATAGGCTCATTGTAATTCATTCAATTATTTGAACATAACTTGCGCATCTCATACACACCCATTGTAGAAACACAATTTTCAATGTTCTTCTCACATGGACGTATACTACATTCAATAATTGGTGTGCCTAAATCATTTCGCGATGTTTATGTTTCTTTTCCCTTTTATCTCTCTCCACTTTGTTATATTATAATTTTCAGTCGCCTTTTTTGCCAGTGTCAACTATATCAATAATAACTCGTCATAACATCTTAAATGACATGTCTAGATTAAATCCCTACTAAGTTTCTCTTGAGATTACATTTAATCATTGATACGGTCATTCACACCTCCAGTTGGACAAATCGAGCACCAAATAGCAAACTTTGTCCAAAACACTTTTTCAATTGGGATCCCGAAAATCCTCTATCAAAAGTGGAAATTTAGAGAGGTGAGAACTTTTATTAATTGTGATTATGAGAGGATTGTGTTGCCATATAGCATAACCGTTTTATGAGAAGTTTCAAGAGGCAATCCTTTTCCTTAGTTCAAGAGGAAATTTCAAAGAGACAATCTAGTTTTAGTTGCTATAGAAGTTTGAGCTTGACAAGAGAACAACTATATTGTCATTTTGCATTCAACTTCACACTAATTAGGCCAAACGATGCATATAATTAGAGTGAAAGACTGAAAATGACATTGCATATTGTATGGATATAATTATTTGAGAGGATCAATTTACATTGGTGATCCCAAAATCACAAGTATACCATCATATAGCCTTCATCCAATTTTACACTACTGAGTCAAAAATTCCACAATAATTTTTGTACAACAAAAATAAATAAAAAAAACAAAAATTAAATTAAAAATAAAAAATTCTAGTGGACTTCATAAATATTCACCATTTAAACTGTAGTATGACAACTTTCAACACTTCTCATTTTTTGAGTGTAACACCTATAATGGTTTTAAGCCATATGTAATCAAACAGACTAGCTAGGAAGATGTTTCCCTGCCTGTGTTAACCTTAATTTCATTATATCAGACAATGGCCATGTTTTTCGATCAATTATGGAAGCGATTGCAGCTTAAATGGCCATCACCTGCCTTTAAACATGAGTTTTCGCACAGTATATCCCTTTGTAATGCCTATAATCAGTCAAATGCTGCTGATCCTCCCCATTTTCTGACTCTACTCTCTGCTTCATCCGCCTGCAAACCGGAAAAAAACAGCATGTAAGCTTTACAGAACATAAATAGGGTGTGCACTTATAACATTAGCACAAAATGATGATCACTTACTTCCTTTTTCCAATTTGTGAAAGCTGTAACAACTACCAAAACCACAGTTTGCAAACAAATTCCGCCAATCATTCCTCCCCAAACTCCCTACAACAACACATCATGAGTTGCAAACTTGCAAATATACCAAAATTGTATTAGCAAAATTAGATTGGTTATGAAACTGCAGTATTACCATTCCTCCGTATCCATATTTGAATCCAAGAATAATGCCAGCAGGGAGCCCAAAGAAATAGTAGCAGGCAATATTAATGTATGCGACAAGTGATTGCCATCCTGCTCCAATAGCAACCCCTAGTGACAGAAGAGAAAACATAAAATCTAATAAGATACAAATTGCACTATACATTGAAACAAGAAAGGCAAACACGGAAGTGATGGAACCATAAATGAAGGCTTATAAACTTAAATCTGCTTGCCTGATAGGACTGGTTGAAGGCTGTTGAGAAGAACTGTAAATGCCAATAAGATTGAAATCCTTGTAGTTTCCTTGGCTACAGCATCGCTTGCCGTAAAAAGGTAAGGGAACGTATCTCTAGTTGCAAGAACCACAAACATGGCAATAAATCCTATGGCTACTGAAGTTACAGAAACTACTGTTACTGAGATCTTCGCCTGTCTGTAATTACCAGCTCCAAGTTCATTGGATACTCTTACACTGTAACAATTAACATGCAAACTCCCATAAATTCTGGTATTCTTTTGACATTAAATAGAGAAAACCTTAATTTAAAACTTGAATCGACATGATATGAATTCCAAGATTTATCATTCTAAATTTTTGGTTGGCAGTTTGGGCTTTCACAAAGGAAATAGTACAGTTTTATAGTTACCTGATGGCAGCATTGAAACCAATTGCTATCATTGCATCCCAACCTTGTAGGTTCATGCTACAAACATGAAAATTAAGGTAAGGCTTCACAAATCACAAACGTAAAAAAAGTAAACATGAAAATGGCATTAGTTGCCAGCTTGATGAATGATAATATGGTAAGGAAGACTGAAGTATTAAATATTTAACCATCTGAAGGATAGAGAGTGACATTTTAAAATCTTACCAAATGGAAATGGCATCAACAGGTATCAAGGGGTCGGGAAGAACACCGACAATAACCACTAGCACCATCAAGTACCAAAACTCCAAGCTGCATAGGCACACGCAAAAAGTCAAAATTTAACACACATGCATGAAAACTCAAATTTCTTCCTGAAAATGATGGCTTAAAGCTCATACATGGCAGATGAAATTACCCGTCTTTTGGGGTACAAAGACATTAGAGCTTAATGAGTAAAGTTTGAAAGACAGTATCAGATGAGGGAAAGGAATGAGATACCATAACATCACAGCAGATGCCAAGGAGAGCTGCACAAAACCCCATAAATCAGCAAATGCCAACATTGAGAATCCACTCCAAGCACCATCTGACTTTGTGACGAAAATGTAGATAAGCTGCAAGATGACAATCAGCCACCAAGACGCATTGAGCACAACAGCTGCGCCTGCCAAGCCCCAACCATACTTCAGCATAAATAGCCAACTGAAGGTCACATGGATCACCAATACAATAGCGGACACCAATGCCATCACAAACACTTTCCTCTGTGCTTGCAAGAATTTTTGTATAGGGAAATGGAATGCATAGGCAAACAGTTGAGGTATCATCCAGAAAGCAAATTTCCCTACACTCAGAACTCTCCTTGTTAGTACATCATATTGCCATAATAAAACTTTCAAAAAATAAATTAATTAATTAATAAAACTGGTTCAGAAATGATTCAGAATTGCAGCTACTTAAGTTGTAATCAGCATTAAACAATATAAGGATACAATGTAACAGAACTGTGATTTTATTTAATTGTGTACTTGGTAATGTAATTATCAAAACAAATATCAAGGTGGCCTTGCAAAAATGAATTTAATTACAGAATAACAATAAATTAGGCCCTATTCACTTCACCTTATTCAAAAGTCGTTTCAATTTAGTAAAAAATAAGTTTTAATCAATAAAAGCCAATAAATATAAAGAACAAATATTAAAAAAATTATAAGTTCTAATCAGTAAAAATAAATAGATTTCAATAAAAACAATTTGAGTTGTATAAAAATAATTCAGTTTAGTAGATTAAGAAACTCAGCTTTAGAAGGAACATTGATACAATATTTATGCAGCTTCACAGTCTCATTTTTATTAACTATTAAGAAAGTATTTAGCTTTCTATCTTTAATAGTTGGGAAATTGTCACCATAAAAAATGAAAAATAAAAATAAAATAAAATCCCCACAATAGTGTATACTAACTTTTAAGGTTTGTACTTCTATATTCCAAATTAATATAGACTACAATGTTATATAGGAAAAGTTTCTCAAAAATAAAACGGCTATTTCACCAAATGTCACTAAGCACTTTAATAATTCACCAAATGCCATCAAGGTTTTCAAAATTCACCAAATGCCACCCGGTTTTTATTAAATTCACCGAGTGTCATTACTGACTAACAGCCGTTAACTCCGTTAATCATTAAGGTTTAATTATGACACATGTTATGGTATGATTGGTCCATTTATCTTAATTTTAAAAAAATAAAAATAAAAAAAAATAAAAATAAAAAACCCAAAATTTTCCCAGCCACCTACCCACCACCGCCAAACCCTAGCCCCTCCCCTTACCTTGCCAGAAAACAACCAGCCGGCCTGCCAGCAGACCCACCGCCGAACCCTACAACCACCCACGCTGCCCGCCTCGACCCCAAAAACCACCAACACGAGCTTTAATCAAGCACCCTCTTCTTTCCTCCGTCGCCAAAATCGCCCCTCCTCCTTTTCCCCACCCTCGAAATGCGTTTCGACGGCGGGAAAAGGGAGAAGGGGCATTTTTACGAGTGGTTTTTGGGGTCGGGGCAGGTTGTGTGGGTGGTTTTTGGGGTGGGGGAAGCTCGTGTTGGTGGTTTATGGGGTCGGGGCAGTTTGTGTGGGAGTTTTTGGGATCGGCGGTGGGTCAGGACCGGCCGATTGTTGGTGGTTAAGGGGGTGGCCGACCGTTTGCCGGCGAGATAAGGGGAGGGGCTAGGGTTTTACGGTGGTGGGTAGGTGGCTGGGAAAATTTTGTGGTCGGGGCATTTCACCTGAATTCTGAAAAGTCCAAGAATAATTAATAGTTACATATTATTTTGTGGCTCTCTAAACATATCATTCCGACAACATATTATTTCTTATTCAACTTTTCTCCTGATATGAACTCTAATTAGATATCAATATATTTTAAATTATATTTTGGTAATATTTTATATAATAATTAATAGTTATTAATCAATATATTATGTAATTATTAATTGATGTTCTTACGTAAATATTGGTCATCAAGGTAATTTACTTAACAAAAATAAGTAATAAAAATCTTAAGTTGATAATCTACCACGTAAATGATATTTTTCTTAAAGAAGTTATTGTGTTTTATTCTTTCTATAATTAAAAATCTAAAAAAATTATAGTTTTTTTACGGTAAAGATTATTTACATTTAACTTTTTTAACCTCATTAAACTGTACTTAAAAATATATTTTCTCCAACATGAAATAAAAGGAAAAATATATATTTAAGAACACACTAGACGATAACACGTGTCATTACTGGGGTGTCTTTTATTATATAATTTTGTATTCTTAATGTTGGTATTTCATTTCAAAACAAAATTATTGATGAGGTGGAAATTTTGAATGTGTATTTTTGTATCGAACAAGTATCATATATATTTGTATCAATGTATCATTGTATTATGTTGTAACCATTACGATTTCAAATGTTAGGTCATGTCAAGAACAAGTCAAGTTCAAATAAGCCTACTAGTCAAGTTAACGGTTATAAGGCAGATACAATTGGTTTTGGATTATTAACAAGTAGGTTCATTTTGGATCAAGTACATTTGGTTACATATCGTGTTTGAGTCTTAAGTTATTAGTTCTAATCTGTTTCGGGTTAGGTCAAGTCGGCTATGGGTCACCACCTCTAATGTCATTATTAGGTCGGTACAAGTTAGTTTTAGGCAACTTCACAGGTTGGATAAGAAATTGGCAGATCTATTCCCAGTTTCCTAAAGAACAATTACGGAGTATAATACATGGAAAATACAAGCTACCTAAACCAAAAAAAAAAAATAAAAAAAAAAAAAACATTAATAGAGGGATTAATTTAGATTCTACACTATTCACACATTAGATAAAAAAAATAAAAAAATTCATTTGAGATTTTACACTATTCACACATTAGATTGATGTAATATTTTAACTAATAAACAATATATAAATGGTATCATCTTTACATTGTTGGATTACTTACAATGTTTACTATAATATAATATTTGTAAATTTTTTACTAACATTTAACTAAAGATATTTATGTTTATGGTCAATAAGTTTTACATTGACAAATTTATTCGAGTGATGCTTAAAAAAAATAGAGGGATTAATTTAGATTCTTTAATTAAAATTAAGTCAATGTATCCATTACATATTAATAAAGGCGAAATCAATAGACACTTGACAAAATTGTGTTAAAAATTTTCCCTCCATTAACACTTGTTAAAAAAAATCCTCCAATAATCATTGCTTTAAGAAAATTATCACTTTAAGAAAAGATTTTTATCTCAATTATTACATTTGCTTTATATAAAATATAAACCAAACTTTCTAAATTCATTTTATATGTGACTATCAAAAAAAGTTGTTCAATACTTCGTATAATTTTACATGTAACCCTAGAAAAAAAATTTGTTTTAAATGATAATTGAACAACCGTGCATGGGTTTTAATGTTGTATCCTAGTAATAGAATAAGGGTAAATTGTGAAGTATGAAAATATGAAACTTGAAGTTTAAAAGAGGTAATTAAAAACAGAAAACAAGCCGTCCTTGGCAACCATATGAATAAGTAATTACTCTGTAAAAAAAAGTTAAAAACATATAATAGTCATTATTATGAAAATGAAATTCCTGTCATATGTGAATAACTGAAAATTCAGATATTGCAACCTACCCTAATAATGGTCCCAATTCCCAATTTCAACAACCCATTTACAAACAGAAGTTCGATTACACAACAATTATAGAAGCAAGTAGCAAATTAATCCACGTTTTTGCTTAACACCCCAATTTTATTACACGTTTATAAGTCAATGAACCACCAATTTCATACGCCAATAGACATATTAACTTTCTGCCAACTATCTTCCTCAGTCTAAAGATTCTTGTAATAATGCATATTAATGCAATTTCTAGATCACTAGTGCAATGAATCAATGCACGTTACCTAATTTTATCTTATTGATTAACTGTTTTCTTTTTAGTATTTGTTTATGATTATCTAGGTAGGTGAGCTGCTGATATTGTTGTATAAATTTAAAATAATTTTCCAGATCACACTAAATCTTGGATTCATACTAAATAATATTTACTTCATAGTTTATATACTTGTAGAGTTGACCAAAACGAACCTAACATGAAAGCACGACGACTAAAATTGCTTAATTATACCCAAACATGACACAACTTGATCCGAACTTGATTTGTAACATTTATTACCATCTTATATTATGACTTTTTTGTGTGAACGACACATGAAACCAAACACGAACATAAATACATGACCCATTAGCCTGAACTACACCGCTAATTTCTAAGAACAGAAGCAATAACAAAGAAACAATACTAACCGGCAGCTTGAGAGATTTCGGGCGTATTCCCGCAAAGTTGAAGAAGGTAAGGAGAGTAAGTATAAAGTGGGGTGAGCAAACAAGCAGTAGCTAGTAAAATAACCCATGATCTCTGCATATAAATACCCATCATCTTGAGCCTCCCCGCGCCATATGCTTGCCCACATAATGTCTCCAATGCGCTTCCCATTCCGAGCTGCAATCATAAAATTCGATCTTACGATCCAACATTTTATTTGTGCATTCCTAAATAAAATGGACTATAACACTTTCGAATCAATATACACAATTACATTTTACTCACTGCATTGTTAATCAAATTACATTATCAGCGTGATTATTGAGTTATCGTCGAAATATGATTAAAAATGACTGTTGACTTTTCAACGATGATCCAAACCAGCCTAGTGGTGGGTCCAAATTAGCAATCAAAAGCTAAAGAAATTCATTGCCTTCCCATTTGAAATAGAAATTGGATTAGATGAAAAGAGAAAAAAGGATCATTTTTTAAATCATTACCTATTAGCAAAAGTAACATTTTCAAACCACCATTTTACACATGACCAAAAAGTAAAGCAAATCAAATTTCAACAAAATTTCTATCATAATCAAACCAAACCCAGAAATTAAAAAAATAATAAAAAATTAAAACCCCATAACAAATAAAAACTCCCCAAAAAAGAAAGAACAAAAAAAAAGTTAATCAAACTCGTACTTTGAGAAAGGAATCGTAGCTTAAATCTATGAAAAATTACAGCACAAAAGATAAATTCATCAACCAATTAGAAGAGGAGAGAGAAAATTAACCATAACACCGAAGCCAAGACCGGAGATGACAGAGTTTTCGACGGAGAAAGCGGCGAGCTCAAGGTCTCCGACAAGACCAGCAAACGTCTGAGTGAGAGCACCCATTGAGTATTGGCATACAGCTGTGAAGATTGCTGGTCCAGCAATTTCCCATAAATTTCTAGATTCGTCACTGAATTCTCTTACTAAGCTTAATTTCTGCTTCTTCTGGTTTTCAACTTCTAAACCCAACAATGGCTTTTCATCTTCTACTTTTACTTTCTGCATTCCGGAATTATTTGGTCAGCTTTTCTCGGGTTCGGTTTGGTGCGTTCGATTTGCGGGTTGTTTTTTTTTTTAAGAAAGGGTACAATGATAAGTGTAAATACAAATTGTAAGAGAATAAAAGGGTTTGATGGGGTCAACAAATTGGGTTCATTAAAGAGTTGAATAAGTATTTGGAAGATTGTCAGAAAATTTGAATTGAAAAATGAGATATGTATAACTTGAAAGGGAGCAGGTAAGCTAGGTCCGTAGCTGGAGTATAGTGAGGGAGTTGAGGAAAAAATGTGACGCTTGATCATGTGAGAAGGTGTATGACTTCGGTTGGTGGGTTTAAAAAATAAATTAGAGTTTTTGTTTGATTGTCTTTGTCTCGTGGGAGAGAAATTATTTAGTGTTTTTAAAATTTTTATTGATCATGTTTATAAGCAACAACTCACGACCAATTATTAGTGGCTGGTCAAGAATTTTTTAAACAATTATTTGCTACAATAATTTTTTTAATTTGATAAAGGTGGTGAAATGTTGGAAGTCTTTGTTCTTTTTAAATTGATTGGATTAGATTAGTTATGACTTTAATGAATGTAAGTTGTATGAATAAGAAGAGTGTAGGCGTCGTTCGAAGTGTTTCATTGTGTGAATATGCTTGGCAGTTATAGAAAGTGAGAATTGACATATACGATTAGGTATAAGGAAAGTAAGAAGCCGCCAACAAGTTTTTAAGGAACTTATAAACCATTCACGGATCATAAAAGACAACCACGATAAAGAAACAACGAAAGACAACAACGTTTGACCCGTGAAGGTTACACCTCATTCATATCCATGAGATTACTAACTTTATATGGGTTGAAACCACAAAAGGATGATCGGGGATGATGGTACGAAGTGAGTCATTGAGTCACATTTGCCCGTATTGGCCTCTACTCGATTCTTATTGTGAAAAGTGATTCCTGCGATCTCAAATGCATGCAAACAAAGATTGAATTAACTCCAAACTTATTATTATGCTTAATTGGTTGAATATTAATGCAACCTATAATTCTAAAATATTCGTGATCACTTGATTAAATAACAAGGTTAAAAAGGAACCTAAACCAGCCGTCTATATTATCTTACAAAAACTTTTGTATGCCCCCGGTTTACAGTAAATTTATTGTACATCGAGTATTTTCGCACATGTGAACAATAGTATTATTTTTTTTTCAGAAGTGACTCACATTTTTATAAAAGTGACCCATATTTTTACAAAAAGTGACCCATATTGATACAAAAAGTGACCTATATTTTCACAAAAATTATACATAATCTCACTAGTTTTTGTTTATTTAATTTTTTCAAAAGTAACATATATGTTTAAGATGAAACACTAATTTTTTGAGATGACGAAGATTAACTTTCTTTAAATAATAAAAATATAAAGTTACTCCATGTTAACTCAAAGTTTCCCCTTTGTACATACAAAGTTACCCTTTTATACACAAAAGTCACCCCATAATAAATACACAGTTACCCATAATCTGAGAAAAGTCGACGCTAAAAAGATGAAATAAAAAAGCACTTTGTTCTTTACAATTTTATAAAATATACAAGTAACTTCTAATTTTTCGTTTGAATAATAGTAGTAACTGTCTTCTTCTTCGTAAGCTTAACATTCGTCATTTTTATCGAAAACTGAATATATATATATATATATATATATATATATATATATATATATATATATATAAGAAAATAAACTTATAAACATCAAATAGAAAATGATTAAAAAAAATGGTTGTAGAAGAGGAATCAACAAACAAAATTGCAAAATTAAGTGAAGAACTAAAATATAAAAGCGAAAAATGATTAAAATTGAAGAACAAAGCAAATGAAGAAAAATAGTGGAAAATGAAAGGAGGGAGAAAAGAAGAGCAACTGAATAAAAAAGAGGAGAGAGAAAAAAAGGAAACAGAAATAAGAAATGGAGAGGAGAGAGAGTTTTGGTAATATAATATGACACGTGTAAAGGAAATAAACTTTCCTCAAATTTGTTGCCACACACTAATTAGTGTAAATCCGGCGTTTTAAAATATTTTAGGCGTGATTTTCAATTACATATTTCCTCTAAATATACAATATGGTAATAATAAAAAATATAATATAATAAACATTAATATTGAAAACAATTTAATAATAATCCAACAATATAAAATCGTTACAAAAATAATAGAAATAAAAGGAACATGATTCCTTACTTTGATTTTGCTTGCTTGCAACTATAAAAAAAAAAGAATAATAAAATAAACGTGTTAGTAACTTCATGGAAAATCAATAAAACAAAAATTAAAATTAAATTAAATAGAGTTGATTTGGGGCCAAAACCTCAAACAATTCTACCTTTTACGCCTTTGTTTAACGATGGAACCTCGGGTAAAGCACGGACTCCTTGGAGTGCTTAAAGGAAGTATTTTGAAAGAATATGGTAGGCTAGTGTTTAGGTTAGATCATAAAAGAGAGAAGAGAGAATTAATTGATTGTTGGGGTAGAGAGAGAGACAATGATTTTTGGTGCCCCGAAATGTAGAAAGGAGGGGGTATCTATAGAGGAAATAAGTAGGGGATCACACGGAACCCTAGAAAAGATATAAACCCTAATTTGGGGCACCGTGACACGTCATTGTCTGTCGTGACACGGTACAAATTGTCGTGTCGCAGTGCATTATTTTTCCTAAAACTTGGAGAAAATACGGAAAAATCCCATGTCACGACATGTGTATCATGACACGACAATATCCACCGTGGCGCGGCACGCGGCACCGTGTCACAGTGTACAATTTTCTAGATTTGCGTCCAGGTTCATAAGCGCGTGAGAAAGACACGGGAAAGCACCGTGACACGATGAAGAATACCGTGTCAAAATACCAGGCCCTGTGCCACATCATCATCCCCCGCGACGCGGCAATTTTAGCTAATGTATGTAATTCTAGTTTTTTATGCATTTTTAAAACGATGATAACTTTTGATCCGTAACTCGGAATAAGGCATATAATATATCATTGGAAAGCTTATGAAGTCTTCTTTCTATCCCATTAGAATCAGGTCAAAATCTTTTATAAAGATATGGTCGTTTTAGTGAAAGGGTGTCGGTTTTGGGTCGAGTTTAGTGTTTTGCTCATATCTTTTTCATTTTAAATTGGAATTAGGCTTATGATATATCGTTTGAAAGCTTAAGGCATATCCAATCAAATAGTAATTGGATCAAAATTATACAGCCACAAAATTAGACTAGATTGGTTTTGTGATGTGGACACGAAAAGAGGAAAACAAGTATGGTGTAAGGAAAAGGCTAAGAAGTAGTTGGTTTATGAAATATATTGAATAGAAATATGGATTAAACATTCCAATGATTAGGTACTCAACCTGACCAATAATGGCAGTGAAAGGTTGTTCATCATCAGGTTTGGTTTCGAGGAGACATTTTTAGGTGTCTACAGAAGCCCCCACTTTGACTGAGTCTGTAGAAACATCAGTTTCGAAAGCGATAGTCAAATTAGTTGATAGGGACGGAGAATGATTTAAGACATTCAGCGCTCCTAAATCACTCTGTATATGCCAATACTTGCAGAAAAATATTAGTTCCACAAATAAAAGAGCAAAAGGATAAAATGCTTATCTGGCACCAGTGTATCAGTGTCAAACGAGTTTGGTAGTTTTCTATGCTTGAAGAAATCAAACGGATGTTTGTTGTGATACTTTCCATGCTTGAGGAAAGTCAGTAGATGGTACAATCGCTGACTTCTTTGTCTTGAGAGGTGGCAACAACCGATAATTTTCCAATTAAGCTTGGGGAAAAACTTGTCTGATGATGAGGTTGCAAGTCTCTGTGTATCGAGAACCTTGTGTCGTGAATTGTCTTCGCTTGGGAGATGATATCTAAAAATGATGATGGTTTGATTGTCCCCGAACGTGGGTTGTAGATTGTTCGATTGTCCCCGAACGTGGGTTGTAGATGGTTTGCTTGTCCCCAAACATGGGCTGTAGATGGTTCGCTTGTCCCCGAACGTGGGCTGTAAATGGTTCGCTTGTCCCCGAACGTAGGCTATAGATGTTTTGCTTGTCCCGGAACATGGGCTATAAATGGTTTGCTTATCCCTGAACGTGGGCTATAGATGGTTTGCTTATTCCCGAACGTGGGTTGTAAATGGTTCACTTGTCCCCGAACGTGTGCGATAAATGGTTCTCTTGTCCGCGACAAATGGTTCACTTGTCCCTGAACGTGGGCTGTAAATGGTTCACTTGTCCTCGAACGTGTAGGTTGTACATGGTTCACTTATCCCCGAATGTGGGTTATAGGTGAGATCTGCAAAATAAAAATATAAAATTTGCTAAAGGACCAGTGTAGACTGTGATTGATTTGACCAACTAACTTGACCAAACTTAACTTAACATGAAATGACATGTGTATGACTTGTGAGTGTGTGTGAATGTTTATGATTTGAGTGTGTGTGCACACACAAGAAAACGAAGATGCAAAGGTAAAAAATTTCTGTCATTTTTGTCATGAGTGGAGGGTACCGACTTTCTCCCGAAAAAAAAAGACGTGAAAAAAAGTTTTATTTTTCACTTTCCCTCGCTGAAATTTTTTTGATAAAGTTTTCAAACTTCCTAAAAAGAAAAGACATGAAAAAGGTAAGAAGTTTTGAACTTCCTCGTTGATCAAGACAAAATGAATCGTGTGGATTGAATTGCTTGTCTTGAAAATAATGTATGCATGATGCATGTTCTTCTGCCACGAGGCTAAGGAAAAGTACATCATATGACACGAGAAATGAATGAACTTAGGTCATGGAGCTAAGCATCATATGTGGTGTAAAGAAATGATCTTGGACGTCACTTAGGTCTGAAGCTAACCAAGTATATAGATGAAGTAATTATTGCATAATGAACGTCGCTTAGGTCAAGGAACTAAGCACGATATGCTTTGTATGACTAAAAAAATATGATATATACAAGTTGCTCAACAGGGATGCGTGAAACAATGAACATTGCTCAGGTCAGGAAGCTAGGCAAATATACAATGTTTCTTTTAACAAATGTTGTCTTGAAAGATGATGAAGCATGCGCGGTAGGTGTAGACACCTAAAAATGTCTCCCAAAAACCAAACTCGATGATGAACAACCTTTCACCGCCATTATTGGTCGGGTTTAGTATTTAATCTTTGGAGTGCTTAAATCCATATTCAAATCCATATTTTCATTTCATAAACCAACCCAATTCCTAGCTCATTTCCCCAAACCATAACTTATTTTTCTCTTTTCGTGCCTTTAAACCCAAAATAATTTATTTCGTGTCCTTTAAAATCATTCATTTCGTGTTCTTTTTATAAAAACGTTTAATCCAGTTTATTTTGGTCCATAATCTGGGTCCAATGATTAAATAGTTGGATGGGGCTTTAAAAGATCTTTCCAACGATATATTATAAGCCCAATCCGAGTTATAACGAATAAGTTATGACCAAAATATTAAACCGAGCCCAAACCAAACCTAAGCCCATCTTACCTACGACTCAATGATC